GACCCCAAAGCGCTTTACATATCCAGTCATCCACCCATTCACACACACATTCACACACTGGTGATGGCAAGCTACATTGTAGCCACAGCCACCCTGGGAGCGCACTGACAGAGGCTGCTCTCTTTGATTAAATATCAAAGAGAGCAGCTTTAAACACAACATGTTAAAGTCTGAATTCTCACAAAAGGTGACTGAAACGCAGTTGATTGAAGAATGAGTTTGTCAGCATGAAGCTGCTGGTGTTTGATTGGTCGCTGTCAAAGCTGCTCATTAAAAGCACAGCATTTTTCTGATTAGATTGTCTGGTTGTTTAGTCTCAAATTCTAGTTTATCATGTTTTCCTGTAAAGCTTCTTTCTTAGAAACCTTGATGTCAGCTTCTCACACTTCTCTCCAGAGGTTTGTTTTGGTTGTTTAGTCTCTTTCTCTGCCTTCAGTGAATTATAATTTTCCATAAAACCTTTCAAATATGTGTACTCCTGTGTTAAACTATGAGTTTCTTGAGTCATCCCATATGTTTTTTCATTAAGACATTAACCACTTTTTTTTTAATGTCACTTCTATCTCCAGTTTGTTTCCTTGTGATGATTATTCACGGCCTTAGTATGACTATAAACAGTGAACTACCTGCTTGGCCTTTTTCCTCAGACTCCAGTTTCAGGCATCTTTCCTTGAAAGTTTGATAGATCTGGAGCCGTTCATTAACCACGTCAATTTGATTTTGTAGGTTCTCGTCTTTTTTTTGGTGCAAATCAGCTCAGTGTTTCTTCACACAGGGGTTCACTTCTTAAAATGTAATGTGCAGCATTACATACAAGTGATGGAGCTGGAGGAACGTGTGTTTGGTATTGAGTTAGTTTTACATCAGATTCATAGAATTTGTTACAACATCTTCGAGCCCCTCCTCGGACAGTCTCAGTCATTGGGTCCTTGTGTCCTTGGGCAAGACACTTCACCTGCTGCCTACTGGTGGTGGTCAGAGGGCCCGGTAGCGCCAGTGTCCGGCAGCCTCGCCTCTGGCCCAGCAAAAACAGCAAAGTGCTTTCGTTATGGCACACATTGATTACCTTAATAGAACCTGTTTGGATTTTAAGGTCAAACATTTGATAATAAATCGATAAATGATCAACAGTGTGATAGAAATTTTCAAGATTCAGTTTTTCTCTGTGTCAGGCTGACTTGACCGAATAAAAAGGCTCCATGGTATCATGTTTTGTCCTTATATAATCAGTCTTCCTTCTCTCACCCCAACCGGTCGCAGTAGATGGCCGCCCCTCCCTGAGCCTGGTTCTGCCAGAGGTTTCTTCCTGTTAAAAGGGAGTTTTTCCTTCTCACTGTCGCCAAAGTGCTTGCTCAATATCTATAAAGCGCCTTGAGGCAACTTTTGTTGTGATTTGGCGCTATATAAATTTGAATTGAGTTTAAACCAACCAATTATGGATTGTGTCAAGACTTCGAGTGCAGAAACAACAGATTTCTAAAGGCACCACTGATGCTCTGTGTGACACAAATGACAAGACATCACTATCAAAGGACAAAGGGGGACGGACGAGGCAAAGAAGAAAAAATGTTTCAGTGTTTGTTCAACCTGTCTTTTTAACTTTTTCTGTTTCCTTCTGACCTGTTTGCCTCACATTTCTGCCACGTTTCCACAGATACAAACAGTTCAGAAGGATAAAGATGAAACTATACTATTGAAAAGCAGAGCATCAGCAGAGACCGAAAATCACACATCAACTGCCCGTAAAAGACAGACATGGCCAGGAAATACAAACACCTTGGTAAGTACATTTAAAAAGACTAATCTATAACATTAATTTTATATAAGAATAAAAAAAAATGCAAACACTCAGTTTAGCTATTATTTTTGTTTATGTCCTTGTTGGATCTCTTCCTCTAACAATTTCTCTTCATTATTAACATAACAATGTTTTTCTCAGCATTTGGTACAATATGAACAAAGAGGAAATATAGGCATCAAAAATTCCTGTCAAACAATTTTGAGTTGCTTCATTGCTGCAATATGTAAAATGTATCTATGCAAAACTTCCCCCTGTGGTTTGTACAGCTTGCACACATTTAGTGACTGGAAAGTGGAAGTGACTTCTCTGGTGGGGAAGGAGCCTGGATTAGTGTGTGAGGTTGAGAGGTACTGGCTAGTCAGGCTGACCTCAACACACGGCCTTGGGCTCTAGCACCAGTCTCCTGGAGAGGGGCTGGACTCTGTCTCAGTCTGGAGTTGCCCTTGGTGAGAAGCGGTGGGCTGGGGTGGGTATCCTAGTATCCCCTCGGCTTACTGCCTGTACGTTGGGGTTTCTCCCGGTGGACGAGAGGGTTTTTTCCCTGTGCCTTTGGATTGGGGAACAGATCCTGATTGTCGTCTGTGTCATGGTCCGGGTGAGTGCTGTGTTTTCCTGCGTGTCAGTAAATCCATCACTGGGCAGAGTCACCACACCCCTCGTTTGTGGCACCTGTGTGTAATTTGTTGGGAGGCTCTGACCCGCGTTCTCAAACATTCCTTGTTGGAACGTCAGCTCATAGCTCATAGAGTCATAGCTCGGTAAACCCTGTCTACTTGCCTCTGCAGCTTCACAGTGGATTGGATCTTGCTGCCTGTAACTAGTGATGGCCAAATGAAGCTTTCCGAAGCACTGAAGCTTGTATTGAAAAACGGTTCATTACTCGAAGCTTTTCAACACAGTCCTCTCCGGTGACATCTGGTGGTGAAAATTTTGAAGAGCAGCTTGAATCTGCAAAATAAAACGGACTGCTCAATTATCACTGCTCACTCAAGAGTGGAGTTATCTCTGATATTGGGCCACCGTTCCGTTGCTTTGAACATGTAATTGGTTTTGTTTTCTCGATTGGGGGGCTGAAAAAAATGTAATGCGTATTTGCGTAATACATTTTGATCAATAAACTTTCCCTATTTAAACATGCACTATGGTGTGGCCTTTCTTTGCTCATAACTCCTTGATGTTGGTAAATACAATAAGTGAGCAATATATATAATATACATATGAGAATGCACAGCACATTATGGAGTATGCCCCTGCTGTGAAGTCCTGCCTCCATCTACTTGTCGTTTAATCACTGGACAGCTGGACAGGTTCATACAAAATACTAGATTAGGCCAATTCCTATACATATTTTTGACCTAGGGGTGGGATTGATTGTGAACTGGAAAGGGAAAATGCTTAGGGAGCTGAGTACGGCTGCATCGTCACTGATTTGTAGAATCATTTTGATTGGATACAGGATTCAATTTGATTGGAATCTGGAAAGTTTTGCCTCAGTCAGAAATATTACAATTCTGATCATTTAACAGTATATATCCATAATTTCGTATCTAAGGGGGAAGTTGGAATGTTACATTTCAGACACTTTGATAAGTCTTCACATATCTCGCGCCAAAACTTTTGCACTGGTGGACAGAACCAAAGAGCGTGGATGTAATTGTCTGGTGTATTGCCTTGACAGTGTGAGCAGTTGTTGGAAGATGTAAAGCCCATCTTGAACATCCGATGACCTGTATAGTGCACTCTATGTAGTATTTTGTATTATATTAATTGCAGACTGGGATTTTTAATTAATTTAAAGGTTTTTAAGCTGACACAGAAAGCTGACACACGTGAGACTTAATTAGAGATGTAAACAGAGAGTTATGAAACCTGCAGCTGCAGAAGCCAGCGAAAAAAAAGAGGCAAACACAGCGCGGGTCCGCGCTCTGTGTTTACGTTTGTATGCAGAATCCGTAAGCCTGCTCCCAGTTACTGTTTTAGCTGCATGGTGTTTGACGACATGTTGTGAGGTTTAACCTGAGATGCTGGCGTTTCAGGCATAATAACGTTAATTTACAAATCGACACAGGATTGTAATGAATCAATATCACTTTATTCAATTTAGCATGGATTGTAATCAGAAAGGCGATAATCAAAACCCACCCCTAATCAAGAACTTGCAAAGTAAAAACATGATCTATGTAAGGTAGCCCTTTTGTTATTTACATTTAGAAAGAGGATTAGTGTTACTGTGCTGAGTCTGTTTCTTTTCTTAGAAATAGTTTCTCCTGCCCTGGAGAAAATCCACTTGCATGGAACAGAAGAGGCTGTGGAGTGCAGGAACCACACTGCAAGCTGGTAGATATGCAGGTATTCCTGGGTCCTGCAGACTATCACCTAAAAACAATAAAATGATTTTCTAAACTGTAGCAATGTAATGTACGTATAGTGTCAAATACATTTTTGTAGTCTTCATTAGCTTTAATTCACATGGAAGTGTTCCTACAGTCATATGCTGTAATGATATTTACATTATGAAAACATTTTGGACATTTCAAGTTTTTCACTTCGGCAGATAAAATGAATTGAGCAAAATCAACTCAAAATATCTTCACATGCCAGAACGTCCTCTCTTCCTCGCTGGCTCCATATCTGTCAGTGGAATGATCACCTCGTCGCTATCTGTCACCATCAACACACTCCACGAATCCCGTGGATGATTCACTTCCTTATATCCGTTTGAATCAGGTACCAAAGCAGTTACGTGCGTAATGAAGCTTCGGACGTCACTGGTCACGTGACTTTTGCCAAACGAAGCAAGCCTCGACACAGTGCTTCTGAACCAGTGTGTTGTTTTTTTTCGACACACGCTCCGGAGCGTCAGCTTCAAGCGGGCCATCACTACCTGTAACCACTCACTCCCCGTCGCTGGCCTGCTACTATTCTCGGCGCTATTCGCCTGCCTCCCTGCCCTACACTTCACAGTGAGTGTACACGAACTGGTTTAGCCTCACTCGGACCACTAATCCCCTCCTAGCCTCGCCGTCAACCCAGACAAGTAAGTCTGTATTTTGTTGCCACCACTTCTTCGACTGCTGTGTGGGGAACGCATTGACTCTACACTCCTTTCATTACAGTGACTCAGAGAAACCCTGTGACCCTGTACCTTGTATGCCTGCTCCGGAAAATCCCAAATAACGTGCCCAGCCCGATAAAGAGACTATTTCCTTTTGGCTTTGCTGCTGCACATGCAGTGTGATTCTTGTTTATTGGTTTAACAATTATTTTGGAGATGGTCTAGCCAAGACTTTACTTTCTCTGCGTTCCTGGTGACAGCTTATCTGCTAGCCCTTGCTAATCACAGTGGGTTTGTAGCTACAGATTCTTAGTACCATAATCAGAAACTTTGTTAGTAGGTAGCCAATGTTCAGAGGTCTATGTTTTCCCTCTCGCCCTTAGTTCACGATTAGCGTTTTTGTTTCTTTTACCTCGTCCATGGTGTGCCATTTTTGAGTGCCAAATAAATTGTTCGTTTGCACTATACCTCCGAGCCGCCGTGTGGTGTCTGCATTTGAGTCCACTTACCTGTGTCTGGCCACCCGGTCGTGACAGTCTGTAGTTTCATCGGAAGACAGCTCAGAGTACCCAGTCTTCTTGGAGTCCCTTTGTGGGGTGCTGGAGAATGCTCCACCTTGGTACTCTGTCGTCCTACTGGTTATCCATGAAGGCCATAATAGGTGGCAGTCTAATGCCACACTAAGTAAGGGATCCTCTATGCTCAACTTCAGCGGCCTTTAGTAACATGTTCATATTTTATAGATGGGGATTATCATGAGGTGCACCCTTTCTCAAGCTTGTGCTAATACTAAAGTAATTTTTCTTGTAGAGACTTTCAGGCTAAAATTGCCGTAATAGTCGAGAATGAAGTTCTTGAACCTCCTTGGGATATGGGAACGAGTCAGTGCCTCTTCGACTAGCTTATTGTGTATGGACCCATAGGCATTTATGATACCCTGTCACCTTTGGGACTGCTCCTAGACTAAGGTGTCAATATAGGTGTTGTTAATCAGTTTCAGCTACACTGATATTAATGAAATTTAATAACAGGTGCTCTAAAGGGATAACAGTTAGACTTGCAAACAGGAATGGTGGCGACCACTGACATTTTTCCCTCCTATGGTGTCAATTCCTAGAGTCTTCTCACCTGATCTAGATCCAATAGAACACCTCTGTGATGTTATGTTTCGGTCCATCTGATGCTGCCAGGTTGCACCTCAGACTGTCCAGGATCTAAGCTTTCATTGTGAAGTACACTTCCTTTATATCATCTGTAAGATCTTAAAGTTATAATTGGTGAGGACAAAAACAGTTTTCAAAATGTTGTGATCACTCGAGTACTGTAACGTAGAAGAATGCCTCATTTTATCAGCTCAAAACATTTCTATGTAAAAAGAGCTGTAAATAAAGAAAACTAAGTATGTTTGCATGTTTGGTTTCTCCCCTTATATATGAAATCATGATTTAATAAGTGAAATTTGTATTTAGTCAGATTAACTTTGACTGGGACTAAAATAGGTTACTTTTTAAAAAGAAATATTCTCTTATTTGCAGAACACTTGAAGATTATCTTGCTGGGAAAATCTGGAAATGGGGAAAAGCAGCTTGGCCAACACCATATTTGGAGAGATGGTGTTTGAGATGGGTCATGCTGAAAACCCTGGAACAAGTCAGTGTAGAGAAGCTACCAGATTGGTGAATGGAACATCTGTCTCTATAATTGACGATCGCACGTCTGAAGAGGATCTGAGGAATGAGATTACAAGGAGTGTCGTAGAGTGTTCTCCTGGACCTCACGCTGTTCTTATTTTACTGAAAGTGGAAAGATTCACAGATCCTGAGAATGAGGAGAATGAGGTTATTACCAGTATCATAGTCTTCATAGTCTTCTATCATAGTCTTTTTCTGAAGAAGGTTTCAGGTATGCTGTGCTTGCCTGTGATAATCTTCCTGAAGGAATGCAGATTGAAGAGTTTTGCAGGGGCAACAACCGTCTATGTGAGTTGTTAGAGAGATGCGGTGGGCGCTGCCACGTCTTTGATAACAAATACTGGAACAACAACCCGCAGCATGAATACAGAAACAACCAGCTACAGAGGGAAAACTGTTACACAAATAAGATGCTACAAGAAGTGGAGAGGCTAAAACAACAACAGCAAGAGAGCATTATCTATGAAGTGCCTTGAGGCGACTTTTGTTGTGATTTGGCGCTATATAAATAAAATTGAATTGAATTGAGCATTAGATCGTCATCAAGAAACATGTCACAGGAAGAAATCAGAGAGGAGGCAAAGAAGAGGGTCTACAATATTCTCAAGATGGCTGCTGGTGTTACCACAGGGCTGTTGTTGGGAGCACTGTTTGGTGTGCTGGGAATGATTGCAAACGTTGTTAAAATGCCGAGGACTTTGAAAATACCAGTAAAAATACCAGCAAGTGCCGTAGTGACAGGAGTGGCAACACAGGGAGAACTTCCAACGACTGGTGTTAAATTGGATACAGTTGCACGGCTTGCTGCTACTGCAGGAGCAATAGGTGGAGGTTCCATAGGATATCGTGAAGCTGATAAAGCAGATTCAATAATAGAGGCAGTTATGAACACAGCTGAGGCTCTTGGTGTACTAGCTGTAGAAGCAGGAAGAACTCTCACAAACCCTGAGACAGAACGTGTTAATCATTTAGAAAAAGGTGAACACATTTCAAGACACGTGTAATGCTCTAAACTCATTATCATCATTTTATTACCAAGTGTCACATTTGAACAGCACATATCTGTATTAATTCTTGATTACTTTGTTTGGCTAAGGCAAGTCTTGCTTGGTTGCTTGTGAATTTCACTTGTTTGTTTGTGGTAAATGTGCTGTGATAATCCTTAATAATACATTTGTAAGAATTCATGCTGCTGGGTGTGGGTTTAAATTAGTTTCATTTTTCAGTACATGTGTACAATAAATTTCCCCATTCCTCTAATCAACGTCTGTGTATGTGGAGCCCTTCATCCTGACATCCTTTTGTCTTCCATTATTCCTGTTTTCTCCCCCAGTGTGACTTCGGTTTGTATCCATGGACTTTTTTTTCTGTTGCTGACAAAATAAAGTTTTGCCTTTGGTTTAATTCTGTCCCTGGAGTCATCAGTACATTAAAACATTAATACAGTAGCTCTCAGATACTGGAGTACCTGGAGAGAACCTGGGGAGACATTAACATTGCATTTTCAATCACTGGTTAGTGGCCAGTTACATTGCTAGTATAAATATTAGCTGTCATCTGAGCATCCCTCCATCGATCACCTGTTTCTGTGCACATCCAGATCAAACCCGGGTTTCTGATCACCTGACCTTCCCAGCTGTCACAGGTAGGAGTCACGTGTCCCTGTTGTCCTAATTGGCCATATTCTTGTTGACTGATGCTCCTCATGTCTTTGTATAGATCACCTGCGGATCGTTTCGTCTGAAGCCTTCTCTCCATCGATTGCTGGTATGTGTTTATTGTGTGACGTATGTTTAATTATTTTACCTGGTAGTAAACAGTATTCATAGGTTGGAGCTACAGAAGCCTCCTATTGGCCACTTTGTTTGAAAATCGGGCAGCACTTTTTGATCAGTATGTAACTTTGATTTGTCAAGATTGTTATTTATTTATTTATTTTTTCCCAGGGCTACATTACAGAAGCGCTGCTTTGACTTTCCCTTCTTTCGTTTGGGTTTCCTTCTGCCCATTTCAGTAACTGGTGTTAAAGAATAAATATATATTCATAGTGCTTATTTTCTGATTATATTGTTTTGTGCATTTTAATAATAAAGGCCTGTATAAAAGAAGGCCAGCTTTTACTCACAAACCAAGTTCTCAGCCAGACTAGAAATACAGGAAGTGCAGAGCTGCAGAGGCAATATATTAAGAACAGGAAACCAGACAGAAAAAGCGTAACTAAGTAACACACACACACACACACATCAAGTCAGGCCAGAAAGAGTTGTTTTGATCTAAACTATGTGTGACGTGCTATATGATACACATTTTTGGCTTCTAATGCTAGAAATCTGCAATTGGCTTTGGGCTGTGCACGGCTCTCTCTTCCGGAAGATGAATAATTTTAAATTGACAACTGAGTCGGGTTTTTCTCTGTCAGTAAAAGAATATAAAGATCCAGATTTAATATTGGAGTAATTTACTTTACTTTTTTGCTGTTGACTTCATCAACAGTAAAAAAAAAGACAATGCTATGTTAATGGACAACATTAACATTAAAAAAATAACACAGACTAAAAAATTATTTTTGTTGCTGGAAAAACTGGAGATGGAACGAGTGCAGGAGGAAACACAATCATAGGAAAAGAAAATCGATATTATCAGCTCTTTATTTGTGACAAAAAAAGGAAAGTAAAATGAGACCTTAACACTTTTACAGTAAATCTGAAGTGAGGGCAATGAAATCTTTAATCTTGTTATCTTGTTTGTCTTCCTCTCAACATTTATTGTTTTCCTAAACTTGTTCCTTCACCTCGATGAAAATGTCATGTGTGGAGATAAGACAGTTTATTTTTGCTGTGTTTCAAAAGCCTGGCACATGTCAATATTTAAAAAAGAAAATCTTGGTGAATGCACACAGCATGAGCCACGAGTTAACCATTTGTAATATATGGTTTCTGATCCACTTTAGAATCTGCCAAAAACAGTGTCACTGAGATGATAACACAATCAAACCAAATAAACTGAAATCATTAAAATTACTCAGTGCTGGAAATAGTTTTTCATAATGTACCATAACATTTCAACAATAACACAGCATTTATAAATAAAAAGGTCAGTTACTAAAGCACGCGCACATTAAACCAATTCATTTATTTTTTCCCTGGCAGTGCTATCTATCGATCTATCTATCTATCGCTGAGTAAGTGAAAACTGAAATAACTATTAGCGACCCACAGAAGAGATACTAATTATCTGTATGTAACCTGGGCAATATTCTAATTACACTTCATCCAAAATTTGAAGACCTCTTGCACCCTAAAGAACGAGCAAACCCACTAGTCCAACATGCATGTACAAGTCTTACTTTAAACCGCAGATGGCATACACTGAAGACTGCAGCTGGACCAAGACTGGAGGACGCTAAAGTCTTGTTGACGTCAGAGGTAATAGGCTTCTTTTGATAAATGCTAATGACAAACTGTGCTTTATTAGAAGAGCTGATTTTTTTACTAACTTGCTTTTTAAAGATGAAGATTTATGTAGTCTTTAAATAATAATGTAAGACTGTTGTTTAAACTGTTTAAAATAAGTATAACTAGATAGACTCTTTTGACCTCCTTTAAAAGGTCAAAAGATTATTTCCATTTTTGTTCCTTTCTTGGTTTATGTGATCAACAAAAACAGTTTGTTTAACGGTTTATTTTCTTAATAATGAATAAATAAACAGGTACATGTGTATACACCACATTAAGTAAAATGTTCAAATGTGATAAACAAAGATACAGAAAATATTTGGAAACACTGCATAGTTCAAACAATACTATGTTATTTAGTAGACCTGTTCATGACAATTCAAATCACTTGCGTGACACAAATCTACAATCTTATAAAATAAAATAAACACACAGAACAAAGTTCATGTAAAAATCTTTGTTCTTTCTTTTTCTCTCTCTGTGACATCAGTGTGTGTGTTTTACGTTGCAGTTGCTGCAGTGCTCTGCGATGTGGTCACACTTTTTAAAAAAAGCAGTGCACCAAGGATCACAGCTACACCTACCAAGACTTTGACAGATTTTTTGGTTGTGTATTTGGTCAAAAGTCTGTAGACTCTGTGGAGAGAGGCTGATAATGATGATGGTTTAGTGCGCTCTTCTTGTTGTCTCTGCCAGTCTTTCAGCATCTCAGTGGTGTAGCTGCCTCCTTCATTTTCCATCAGCATGTTCTGTATTGTGTTGACCAGCTGTGTCACCTGGAACTGGTTGTTCCTGTACTCGTCTTGCTGGTTTTTCCAGTACTTATTATCTACAACGTGGCACCGTCCACCACACTTGTCTACCAAATCTTTCAGAGGCGTATTATTTGTGATGAACTCCTTGATGCTCATTCTGTCAGGTAACTGGTCACCATCCGTGAAGACAACTGTAGAATATTTAAATACTTCTGCTGAAAAACACTCCTGCAGTTTCCTGATGACAGCCGTCTCCTGCTCTGTGAATTTCTCCACTCTGAGCACAATAATGAAAGCGTGAGGACCAGGAGGACACTTTGTGACACAGCTTTGTATCTCATGCTTCAGCTCCTGCTCTGAAAATCCTGGGCTAAAAAAACCAGGAGTGTCAGTCAAAGTGAGATTTCTTCCAACGACAGATCCAGACTTTGCTATACAAACATTTGCTTGTGAGTCTGAAAAATGTAGGACTTTGAACTCATTCCTTCCTAATATAGTGTTAGCGAGGCTGCTCTTCCCAGCTCCAGTTTTCCCCAGCAGGACGATCCTCGTTGTGTTTGGAACTAGAAGAAAAAAAGATTAGTTACACTTTTAACACTTGTCTGACTGTAGGCCTAATTGTGCTGTTTGTAAATTGTCTCCTTTATTGGTTTTTGATTCCTGTTTTTAGCAGATGGTGTCACTTAAAGTGAGTTCCAGTTTTGCAGCTCTGTGTTTTGGTTCCTGTTTAACTTTATTAAATATGTAAAAATTGTGTATGTTTCTGTTCTGTGTCTTGTGTACTGTTTGTTTGTGTCTTTCTTGCGGCTGTTACACCCAAATTTCTCCTTGTGGGACAATTAAAGAATTAATCTATTCAATTATTCTTATTCCTGTCCACACGGCAACTTTCAGTTTTTGGTTGTTTTGTTTTATTTTTTCTTCCCACTGAGCTGTTTTGATAGATATATTTTCATTTAACACCACCTTTCACTCAAATAATTCACTAGTCTTACTGTCCCAGTGTGTTTTACCACCTACTAAAGTTCTTTACACACAGCGGATTAATGATAACATCCTACCACACAACCAGAAGAAATCAAAACCATACTTACATGTAAGATGTGACACACACAAAAACTATATTCGCGTTGCGAAAGGCATGTCCACAATGTTACACTCATTGTGGACATGCCTGGAAATGCAAGTATATTGGACAGAAATTCATAACTATATTCATCATGTAACTGAGATTTTGCCAAGCTTCTAGGAATGATTGAAATTGTTTTAACAACATGGATGAATTCAAGGACGCTTCAAAGTGAAGGTCATACATTTAAAAGAATTTATGTGTGGGTACAGAATGATGATGGATTGTATTTGACATTCAATTGTTTTATACAGATATATTCTTTATTTTATAAACTATTCAATGTCAATTGTTCTTTGATTTAGTTAACTACTTTTTGTTTAGATACAGACATGCTGGAGTACTGACTCTCTTTACATTAAGTTTTAATCTAAATAATAATTGCTTTTATTATTATATGTAAAGATTAACTAAAAATATATAAAGTTACATTAAAAAAGGGACATTAGTAAAGGCTAATCAGGAAGAGGAAACACAAGGCAAAGCTCCACCAGCATTATTATTCCTGCAGCAACAGGTTAATATCAGTGGGCATAATAACCCCCCCCCTCCATTATCTGTTTATCTATTCAACCATCTACTTATATTATTCATATTTAGATTATATTTACTTACTATACTTTAGGTATACATAAAACACACTCTTACTTGTTTCTTCTGTTTTTCTATGTGCTTTTTTTGTCCAAATAAAGCTCACGTTTAACTTTATGCTAAAATGTGTTCACAATAATTTTCTACAATTTCTTTTACTTAAAATCTTAACTTACAAAATATAAAGGTTCATATTTTAGTGAAATGGTAAAAAAGTGGATTAAAAAAAAAATCTTCAGTGCTCCTCCTAAATGAAACACTTACTGCGTATCTAAGATGGCTGCCATAGCACACTGAGGAGAAATGAGCATAAACAAAGCGAGGAACATGTTTTAGCTAGGATGTCAAAACACAGCCCACTGTGTAGCCTGTTAGCTATAACAGTATAAATAAGATTAGATATGGAGGAATAATTTAATGTTAATCATCCTTTGAGGTATGAACACGTTTGCACTGCTTTAAGAAAGACTTGAAAATAATCAGAATGTTTACACTGGTGCTGAATGATACTACAGGCACTTGTATGCATGTCTGTGTACGTCTAAGTTCATTGCTCAGTGCATAAAAAAGAAGTTAACTAACTTACCATCCATGATGAAGGTAATCAGCGGTAGTTGTGCCTGAAGCTTATAATTAATGGCAGACTGTGATGTCGGTGTTTCCTCTCTGCTGTCGGACTCTGACTGTAGTTCTGTTTCACTTTCTGTTTCTGTCTTAAGCTGCAATACACCAAAACAACAAGCAGTTGACGGGCTGTGTTTAAAGTCTGTAGCTGTATGGAAACTTAAATTATGATTAGGCTACAAATTTTAAATTACAATTTTATTAAAGCAGAATTATTTTTTGTCATGCATATCTCTCCACTGGAAGTTAGCAAAGACTAAACTGTCTTCCTAAATAAATACTAATGAGAATAAATGTTTTAGTGATGCTCAGTTATTTGTAATTAATAAGTAATTAATTCAAAAATCTTAAAATAATGTTGGTTAATTTTTAGAACAGTGGAACTTTCCTCACAATTAAAAAAATAAAAAAATAAAAATGATTTGAAATAGAAAAATAATTGCCCACAATCATTCGATGTATATGAATGTGAGAGCAATATTCAGAAATACTCAAAACAATGGTACAGGTACTTTTACTTTACTAATGAGTTCTTTTATAACAATTAATATTTTAATGTCTCAGAGTAAATATTACAGCTGCATTTATTACATAATACAGAGCCCCGAAAGGGATATTTGAGGGAAAAAAATTAAGATGAACTCTTGCGAGATCTCACAAAAGTTTTGCAAGATCCTGAGTTAGAGATCCTGCTACTTTTTAAAAACGGGTCTGTTTCTGTCCATTCAGGAATGAGAAGTGTCCACGGAGTAGACATGGAGGAGGATTTAGAATGTTTCCTGTGGTCACGAGAGGTCTCAGAAGAGGACATCACGCACACGCAACAAGACAAAGTATGTGTAAAATTCAGTAAGTGAAAGAACAAGATAGCATAAAACACTGGGGTTGAGAAGGCAATTGACTTGTAGAATAACAGAAGTCGTATATGCAAGCCTTTAATGTTAACTCTTGTAATTATGTTCAGGTTCATTAAACATGTTAAGTGCACATATGTTTTGAAATGTGATATTGTAATCTGTCTGTATTGTTACTATTCTAACGTGGACGAAGTCCTTCTGTCAACAAACTAAGTACAGTACGGATAAAGAGACTCTTCTGCAGAACCTAAGATATAAAATTGCAGTATGGAAAGTAAGATCAAAAACCAAAGGAGCGCTGTGTGGTCCATCAGGTGTGTTCCACAAGCAACGTGAAGGGATGGCGAGACAGTGAAATACTGCAGGAGAGAATATCTGCAGAAAAATTGACACCGTTGGCAAACTTTGTGAACAAACCAATTTGAAGCCCCTGAGATTTTACATGATGACAAGATGAAATATGGTCAACTTTTCAGTCCTCATCTGAAGTGGATGAATATAGGGAAGATTTCTTCTTCACAGTGTTTTTGTGGTGAGGTGTGGAGATTGGTTCACTAAAACATGTCCCTCTAGTGAAAACATTGTTACGGGTTCAAATATTGAGGAGGGATACAGGAGGAATTCAAATCACAACACTGGTCCAGAAGGGTTAGGTCAAACGATGATTTTAATGAACACACACGTGGAGAGATGAACACCGTCACACACTCAGCATCGATCTCTCCCTAACAATACACAAGCAGTTGTTTTATATCATCAGGGTATTATTACACCCCCTCTTGCGTTAAGCAAATACAATACATGCAGAAGTCAAAACCACAAACGTTCCGTTAACGACTTTGACACAGTTTGAAAGAACATCTTCTTTGCCTCCAAGCCAGGTGCTTCCGGTAGCTCATCTCGCTCTCGCTTCTCCAAAACCTCAGAGGCATGCTCTGCAACAAAACTATCAATTCTGCAGGCACAAAAATGCAGTTACAAGCAAAATATGTCTTAACTCTTACCTAGAATATAAGTCTACCTACAGTGTGTGTATGTGTGTCCTGACCTCAATTGACACCCTGTATCACCTCTCACCTCGCCTACTAAAGCTCCCAACCAGACAGAGGCCACTCTCAGATGTGTAACAATCTACTAAAACTATATATGTATATATTGAATAAATGCCACTACTCAAAGCTTAATAAAAAAGAATATAAACGGATAAAAGATAATAATGAATAACCTAGTTATTCAAATAGCCTCGTCCCAACAGCTCCTCAAAATAACAACCAAAAGATGCACACTTTACAGAGGAAACAAAGACATTTCAGAAGTATACTTCCTGTCTTATTCTGAGTCATCTGTTACCAAACAAACTCAAACGCAGCACGTTGCCGAATACACTCAGTTGGGCTTTTCTTATATAACCCAATATAATCAGCATATAAGCACTTAAGATTATAAATTTAAACTCAACAGTTTAAAGTGGTTATAACTGCACCTGTAATAAAGGTTAATGTGATTATGATAACACCTGTAATACAAATTATAACATAATGCCAACAGCTTCAATAAATACTTTGATGAAATGATGATTAATGCAATGATAAAGATGATGGTTATGAACAGTAGCAGTAAAATAATTTCTTTAATCCTACAACATGTAACTAAGAGGCAGCTCTGCTGTCAGGGATATATAGAGAGGAGCTTGTGTGTGCGGTTTTTATAGACTTTACAAGGAGCTGGTTCCTCTGAGGGGACAGAGTGTGCATGCAGGTGTGTGAAAGCAGCAGCAAGGTCTATATTAAGAACAGGGTTTGTGATATACTGTCAGTGCTCAGAGCTCCACACTTACAGGTTAAACAACCAGATTAGAGATTAACTCTCCTTTTTTTCACCAAAAAAAATCACGCACAAAGTATGAACTCCTCTCTCATAGAAAAGTAACCCAACTTGAATGATATGCAACCAACAACTAACTGTTTTCGTTTCCTTCTTACCTTTCTGCCTCACCTCTCAGCCACGTTCCCACATGTTCAAACACCGCAGAGCAATAAACAGGAAACTGCTGAACAGCAGAACATCAGCAGAGACAGAAAATCACACATCAACTGCCTGTAAAAGAGAGAAATGGCCAGCAAATACACTCGTCACAGTGAGTACATTTAAAAGACTAATCTATAACATCCATTTTATATAAAGGGTAATAATAATAATAATAATAATAATAATAATTTCCTCTCTTAAACTAACAATTCTCTTTTGATGGTTTTCTAAGCACTTTGTACAATTTGATGCCCAACATTAACATCAGCTTTTAAATGCTGTGTAAAAGAAAACTAACGCAGACTTTTAATTTCTTGTTTCTTTAATTAAAACCCAGAGTCAGAATCTAGGAAAAGAAAATTAAAATGTTTTTTTCAGTAAAATAATTTATTTTAAATCAATATCATCAACAGCTTCTTGATGACACAAGAAGGAGTAAAATAAGATCTGAACACTTTTTACAGTAAACCTGCTGAAAGGAATGAAGTGATGAAGGTGTTTTCTTAGTCATCCCACTCAGCACAAACAGGAAGTTTATGGGTGGCTGTAGCTCAGGTGGCAGAGCAGGTCAGCCACTAATCTGAAGGTCGGTGGTTCGATCCCAGGCTCCTCCTGGCTGCATGCCAAATATCCTTGGGCAAGATACTAACCCCATGTTTGCCTACTGGTGGTGGTCAGAGGGCCTGGTGGCCCCAGTGTCCGGCAGCCTCGCCTCTGTCAGTGCGCCCCAGGGCAGCTGTGGCTACAATGTAGCTTGCCATTGCCTGTGTGTGAATGGGTGAATGACTGAATGTAGTGTAAAGCGCTTTGGGTCCCTCAGGAGTTTACTCAGTCCGTAGGGACTGAGTAAAGCGCTGTACAAATGCAGGCCATTTACCATTTATGGCAGCAAACTCCTGTGAAACAGTTCTGTGTCGTTTCATTGCTGCAATAAAGCACGTATATGTCCTCCTTGTGGTTTTTGCAGCTTGTACATGTCTACTTTCGCTTCTCTAATCACCAGCAGTTTAATTTCCACCCACCAAATCTACAATACTTGGTTGGAGACGGTGCCTTTATCTTTAATAGTTGACACAGCGAGAAGGTTTCTGGTTTAAATTCCGGCAGTGATCTTTTTTATGGCTTTTACATGTTCTCCTTGATCCTGAATGGGTTTCTCCCAGTTACTACAGCTTCCTCACACAGTCCAGACCAGTAGCGGTTTTTGATACGGGCGACACGGGCGGTTGCCCGGGGCGGCATCGTGGTGGGGGGCGGCATCACGGGCATCGGCAAAAGAAAAAAAAAAAGAAGGCCCGACATCAGCAGGCGCATATTGGGAATGGCATAGGAACCGATCGGTTTTCTATCGCCCTTTTGCTGGGAGTAAGGACGCCCTCCATTTGTGAGGTGCACCTGCTGCTTGCAGCACAGGGAGGAGAGGGCGGGGCGGCGGGGGTTTCTCTGGCTGGCTGGAGCAGCATCTAATAACCAACTCACAAAATAAAACAAAAGAAAAACAAAACAAAACAACAAACATGACAACAGCAGACATTATGATACAGACTTGTAATTTGCACCGATGTTGTTTTCGAAATTCTATAAAGTGAGTGCGAGAGCCCTCTGTGCGCCTGCTCGCTGCTGAAGTCAAAGTAAACTTTATTGTCATCTCCGCTACATACAGTCCAGTATAGAGAGAGACGAGAGGACGAGGCTCCAGTTACAGCAGTGCAAGTAAACAAACAATAAATATAAGAAGAGTAAGAAAATAAATATACACTTCAGGACTCGGGGTAAAGGGATCAATAACAATTTAAAATTTATAATTTACAGTTTGATGATTTAAAGTCAAAAGGGGAGGAGAGCCCTGCTGCTTCCAAGTAGACCACATTTCATTCATAATGTTGTAAATCCAGGCCCATTATGTATTCATGATTTGAATCCTGGGTTGTGCGAAATCTCAGAAATGCACCTTAGACAAAGTGAATCTGTGAACTAAGGTGTAGGTCTATTAGGTTATGTTGTGGTGATCATCGAGTTGGGGGATTTGTGTTCATACTGGAGTGCAAAATTAAAACCAATGTAAGATGGACAAGAAAAGTTCAACGCCATCAGATGCTCAGTTTAGAAAAAATAGAAAAGAAGAGGAAGAGAAATGGCAGGTCATCCTGAAACAATCAGAATCAGAATACTTTATTAATCCCTAAGGAAATTATGTGGATTACAGTTGTTCCAAAAAGAAATGGTAAAAATAGCAACAGTAACAGACTAACAAACACCAAACATTATGTTACAGATTTTAATATTAATTAGTCATTGTCAATTGTTAATTTGTCCTGTTCTCATTGTATGACGAATTATGATGGGGTGTAAATGCCCCCAAGGGTGGTGGAGAATGACCGAGCTAAGATCCTGTGGGACTTCCAGATACAGACGGACAAAATGGTGGTGGCTAACCAACCGG